TGTTATTGACGAGAAGTTTAGTTTCTTTGATTAATTGTAAAAAAAATACTTATTACCTTTTTCCAGAGCACAAGGCAGAGGGGTGTGGAAATTTCTAGTAACATAATTGTTGCAGTACATAGAAATACAAGATAGTACATTTAGGACTGACTCAATTTTTTCGAGTTATAGAGCTTTTTGATAAGTTACCTTACGGATAGGTCAAGCTACTTTATTGCAGGAATTCTCGGTTTCAATTTAATTGTTGAAATTGAAACCCGCCTAAGAAAAATGCATGAGGTTGATGTTAAGCGAGCTGCCTTCCTAGTTGAAAGAACATTCAAAGAACCATTGTTGTTTCGCTGGGAGAGTCTTTGAATACCCTATAAAGATACCCTTAGTTGGATTGAGGAGTTACGTTAGCCAGAGTGAAGGGAGCCTCACAGCAAAAGGAAGTAAAGTGCGATTATTCTGAGAAATACACAGTTGTTTTAGAAGTGTTTTAGACTCTGCTGCATGCAGGTATTCATTTGGGTTCAATTGTAGTCTTCGGCTACTCAAGAAAGCTACGAGAAACTGCGCGCAGCGAAGAAATCCGGTTTTTACCCTTTTGAAAGGTCAGTCGCGGTATGGTATATAAGGCGGCCAAGGTGGTAAAGCAGTAGCATTTTCACAATGAAACTCCTGCTCCTCCTTCCCGCCCTTGTGGCGCTCGCTAGTGCCAAGTCTGGTGAGTTTTCAACAATTTGCTTTGAAATTCTCTTAGAATTTTATAAATAATGGGCATTTTTCGAAAATGCATTTAGTAGCTAAACTTATCTAATAACTTTTCAGTCCAGAAGCGCAACGCTTACGGAGACGAGCAGGTTGCTCCTGCCCCAGGACCAGCTCCAGTTGCTCCCGCTCCTGAGCAACCGCAAGTTGTTGTCGACCAGCCACAGCCAGCTCCAGACTGCGGCCCCGTCCAGCCTCCAGCACCCGCTCAACCCTCAGGATACAGAGCTAAGCGCAACGCCTATGGGGATGAGCAGGTTGTTCCAGCTCCTGCTGCTCCAGCTCCAGGACCTCCAGCCACCTAATCTTGAGCAACAGCAAATTGTCGTCGACCAACCACACCCAGCTCCTGACTGCGCCCCAGCACCCGCTCAGCCCTCAGGATACAGAGCTAAGCGCAACGCTTACGGAGACGAACAGGTCGCCCCTGCCCCAGGACCAGCTCCAGTTGCTCCCGCACCTGAGCAACCACAAGTTGTTGTCGATCAACCACATCCAGCTCCAGACTGCGGCTCAGCCCAGCCAGCACCAGCTCAACCTTCAGGATACAGAGCTAAGCGCAACGCTTACGGAGACGAGCAGGTCGCCCCTGCCCCAGGACCAGCTCCAGTTGCTCCCGCACCTGAGCAACCACAAGTTGTTGTCGATCAACCACAGCCCGCTCCAGACTGCGGCTCAGCCCAGCCAGCACCAGCTCAACCTTCAGGATACAGAGCTAAGCGCAACGCTTACGGAGACGAGCAGGTCGCCCCTGCCCCAGGACCAGCTCCAGTTGCTCCCGCACCTGAGCAACCACAAGTTGTTGTCGATCAACCACAGCCCGCTCCAGACTGCGGCTCAGCCCAGCCAGCACCAGCTCAACCTTCAGGATACAGAGCTAAGCGCAACGCTTACGGAGACGAGCAGGTCGCCCCTGCCCCAGGACCAGCTCCAGTTGCTCCCGCACCTGAGCAACCACAAGTTGTTGTCGATCAACCACAGCCAGCTCCAGACTGCGGCTCAGCCCAGCCAGCACCAGCTCAACCTTCAGGATACAGAGCTAAGCGCAACGCTTACGGAGACGAGCAGGTCGCCCCTGCCCCAGGACCAGCTCCAGTTGCTCCCGCACCTGAGCAACCACAAGTTGTTGTCGATCAACCACAGCCAGCTCCAGACTGCGGCTCAGCCCAGCCAGCACCAGCTCAACCTTCAGGATACAGAGCTAAGCGCAACGCTTACGGAGACGAGCAGGTCGCCCCTGCCCCAGGACCAGCTCCAGTTGCTCCCGCACCTGAGCAACCACAAGTTGTTGTCGATCAACCACAGCCCGCTCCAGACTGCGGCTCAGCCCAGCCAGCACCAGCTCAACCTTCAGGATACAGAGCTAAGCGCAACGCTTACGGAGACGAGCAGGTCGCCCCTGCCCCAGGACCAGCTCCAGTTGCTCCCGCACCTGAGCAACCACAAGTTGTTGTCGATCAACCACAGCCAGCTCCAGACTGCGGCCTCAGCCCAGCCAGCACCAGCTCAACCTTCAGGATACAGAGCTAAGCGCAAACGCTTACGAGACGAAGAGGGCGCCGGCCAGGACCAGCCCATTCTCCGCACCTGAATGCTATACGAATCGTTGTTGACCAGCCACATCCAGCTCCAGACTGCGGCTCAGCCCAGCCAGCACCAGCTCAACCTTCAGGATACAGAGCTAAGCGCAACGCTTACGGAGACGAGCAGGTCGCCCCTGCCCCAGGACCAGCTCCAGTTGCTCCCGCACCTGAGCAACCACAAGTTGTTGTCGATCAACCACAGCCAGCTCCAGACTGCGGCCCAGTCCAGCCCCCAGCACCCGCTCAACCCTCAGGATATTAATCGATTCTCAATCGTGATCTTCAGTTTTTCATTGTGTGCATGCCGTAATAAAAGTAATATTGAAATGTTATTTGCTATAAGTAAGCAGAAGTTCAGGAATTGAACCAACAATATAATTTTAAAAGTTTCATTATAGATGGTAAAAAATTAATGAAAGCTGGAAGTGGTATCAGCCCACATGACAGAGAGCGTCACTGAGATATTTTCCTTCATATAGAATGCAGCTACAATGGATTGCAATTTGTGAACAATCACATAACCACAAGTGCACTTCACTTCTATGTCCCTTGGAACAAACCATCTTTCACTTCCACTTCAAAGCTTCGCAAATTAACCCTGAAGACGACAGGAGGCGGGGTACTTAAGCTTTGATATTGATATACAGTGTGTCCAACTTAAGTTGTATCACTTGCCAGCTGTATTTACCGAAAACGTTTTCTTAAAAGAGTGGCCTAGTTTAGCAGTATACATTATCGGATATGCTGTATAAGAAAACAACTAAAAGCATATCTTCGGATATACAAATTCACAGAAAAATTCCGTTTCATGACATACATTTGTGTGAGGGTTGTGTTTATCTTGTTCTCGCTCAGCAACTATTTCCAATATTAAAACAAGGCACACCAATATGAAACATTGCCCCCGTGTCACTGGCTTTTCTACTTTTGGTGAGCAAAGCATGGTCGCTTTCCTCGAAAAACTTTTTCAGGTTCGGCCCGAAGAATTATGTAGTCACCCCTGAACTTTGATGCCGTCGCTGGTATTGAATTTTTTTGCTGCTGAGGACTGCTATATTGACCTGAGTTACCACTTGGGAGGGCTTCATTTGAGGGGACTTGCTTATCGTTAGCCTTTTTCTTGCAATATAGCAGCCAAACTAGCAGAATGTTCCACGAGTTTGTCTGTCTGATGTGGGAACAGCATGAATATAATGACCACACTCGGAAACGCCTACAAAAACGCGGCGAATGACAGGAAACAACATATCTTAGTATTAACTTTTCAATGTATCATTTCAATTGAGTGATTAATAAATGCAAAGTACTGAATATAGAATATGTGAAATTATCTTAATATTTCGTTAGCACTACAGCGGAGAAAGCGGACTCATTATGGATTTCTTTGGTTCGCTTCGCGAACGAAAAGTTGATCAGTAAAGTTGTGTTAATAAATTTTTATACCAGCTGCCTGGCATTGCGTAAATCGTCTAACTGATGTGGCCGTATTCGAGAAAGGCTCCAAGAGGCACACAAAACGAATATTATTTTATTTATTATTTTAGTGTTCTTATTCATATTATTTATTGTTGAAAACAAAGCAAAAATGAAAAATATCCTCTTTTTCAGTTCGACTAAGATAAAAAGCAGGGTCAACCGTCCGTTGGACAAAGTCCAACGGGGGGGTCGTATTTGGCCGACGCTAGAGGGGGGGGGGTCGTATTCGCAGGAGTCAACGTTGCAGTACGAAGAGGTTTTTGGGTGTAGATGACGAGAGGTGGTTTTCGCTATAAGGAACCTAATGTGTGTTGTGATGAAGCTCGCAGCTGTTGGCTCTTGCTGGGACCATCGAACGATTAGAATCAAGACGTTAGTTCTCGCGACAGTAGGTGAGAGGTAAAACTTTGAGTGCTTCTTCAACTATTTAAGCACAAACGAGTGCATGGCGCACATCAGAGCAGAAGAGTCTACTGCGAAAGTATATTTGACTGCTCACGTACACAAATATAATTCTAGAGGTGAACCAATGCCTTCAAACTGGACCTAAGTTAATAAAAGAGTGACCTCTTTGGTAGATTGACTGCTAAAGGGCTACAGGAAAAGTTTGGGAACAAAATATTTGCCTCCCGGCAGCTTCTTGAAAGGGGTTCAGCATTGTAATGAAGCACAAAGCTTGTCACGGGCTAGCATATTAGCGATAAAATTAGTTTGAAGAAGAGTATGTTAGGCGAAATATAAAACCCTGCGGTTTTTCAGGAGAGTAGCTCCGAAAATTCATGAAAAAAAAACGGTCCAACGGGGCGATTTTTTGACTCCTTCAACTTTAGAAGGAAAAGTATTCGTTGGAAAGCTCTAACCTTCTACTCCAATCCAGGGGGACAAGAACTGCAAAAAGTTCAATCTGAAGAAAGTTATAACAATTTAAAGCCAAAAAACCTGCGCTCTGCAAAAAATCGGTCCGCGATTTCCCAAAAACGGTCCAACGGGGCGATTTTTTGACTCCGTCAACTTTGAAGGAGTTCAAGTACACGTTGGAAAGCTCTAACTTTCTTTCTTCTCGGTGTTGTTGTATGTTTGGGGACAAGAAACGAAGAGGTGGAATTGGAAGAATTATAGTACATTGAAGCCAAAAAACCTTTTAGTCATTGCGAAAAAAAGCGACATCCAAACGGGCGAGTTTCCGTGGAAAGAATTTTATCGGAATCTTAAGCCACTTTTAGAAAAAAAACAACGTCGGAGTTTCTAAATTCTTATACGCCCTCACTAGTTTGTCTTTTGTGAGGGAGTAGTTGAGCCTTGGTTGTAAGTGTGAGATGAGGGTTGGGGGGGGGGGGGGTGTGGTGGTGTGGGGGCAAGTGTGCATTTCTGTTGAATTCTTTGTTCTCTACCACATAACTGGAACTGACGAAGTTTTGAAGATAGGGTATGATCATAGTTTTGTCTTCTGGAACAAGCTGTTCTGTAGATTACAAATCTACTTAGCGTTCAAGAAATATTGATATTGAACAAAATTACGCTTATTTGAAAGTCAATAGTCTGTTTCTCGCGACCCGCGCTGCGCCGAGGGGAAGATTGCGCGCGCCAATGCGAACGCAACGCTCCCGTGCTCCGGTCGGACACTTCTGCTGTATACTCTCATGCTCTGAGATGCGCCATGCATTCGTTGCAACTTAAAATCACTGTGAATATCCCCCTTTTGATATGTAATCAAAAACCGCGAGAACTTTCCCTACAACCTATTACATCAGATTGCGCGCTTTCAGCCTGTCTAATAATTTTCGAAAATAATCAGCAATAGTTCATAGGGCCATGAGTTTAAAAAATGGCGGATAGTTTGCGCTCAACTTAATAGTAACTCGAAAATACATAAGTATGACTTCGCTTCAACATACTTGAAGGTAGTTGGTTTGGAAAATAAAAAAAAAGATTAAAAATAATGTTATCGACGAGAAGTTTAGTTTCTTTGATTAATTGTAAAAAAAATACTTATTACCTTTTTCCAGAGCACAAGGCAGAGGGGTGTGGGAATTTCTAGTAACATAATTGTTGCAGTACATAGAAATACAAGATAGTGCATTTAGGACTGAACTCAATTTTTTCGAGTTATAGAGCTTTTTGATAAGTTATCTTACGGATAGGTCAAGCTATTTTATTGCAGGAATTCTCGGTTTCAATTTAATTGTTGAAATTGAAACCCGCCTAAGAAAAATGCATGAGGTTGATGTTAAGCGAGCTGCCTTCCTAGTTGAAAGAACATTCAAAGAACCATTGTTGTTTCGCTGGGAGAGTCTTTGAATACCCTATAAAGATACCCTTAGTTGGATTGAGGAGTTACGTTAGCCAGAGTGAAGGGAGCCTCACAGCAAAAGGAAGTAAAGTGCGATTATTCTGAGAAATACACAGTTGTTTTAGAAGTGTTTTAGACTCTGCTGCATGCAGGTATCATTTGGGTTCAATTGTAGTCTTCGGCTACTCAAGAAAGCTACGAGAAACTGCGCGCAGCGAAGAAATCCGGTTTTTACCCTTTTGAAAGGTCAGTCGCGGTATGGTATATAAGGCGGCCAAGGTGGTAAAGCAGTAGCATTTTCACAATGAAACTCCTGCTCCTCCTTCCCGCCCTTGTGGCGCTCGCTAGTGCCAAGTCTGGTGAGTTTTCAACAATTTGCTTTGAAATTCTCTTAGAATTTTATAAATAATGGGCATTTTTCGAAAATGCATTTAGTAGCTAAACTTATCTAATAACTTTTCAGTCCAGAAGCGCAACGCTTACGGAGACGAGCAGGTTGCTCCCGCCCCAGGACCAGCTCCAGTTGCTCCCGCACCTGAGCAACCACAAGTTGTTGTCGACCAGCCACAGCCAGCTCCAGACTGCGGCTCAGCCCAGCCAGCACCAGCTCAACCCTCAGGATACAGAGCTAAGCGCAACGCTTATGGGGATGAGCAGGTTGTTCCAGCTCCTGCTGCTCCAGCTCCAGGACCTCCAGCACCAGTTGAGCAACAGCAAATTGTCGTCGACCAACCACACCCAGCTCCTGACTGCGCCCCAGCACCCGCTCAGCCCTCAGGATACAGAGCTAAGCGCCGCGCTCGGGAGCGACGAGCAGGTCGCCCCTGCCCCAGGACCAGCTCCAGTTGCTCCCGCACCTGAGCAACCACAAGTTGTTGTCGATCAAGCCACATCCAGCTCCAGACTGCGGCTCAGCCCAGCCAGCACCAGCTCAACCTTCAGGATACAGAGCTAAGCGCAACGCTTACGGAGACGAGCAGGTCGCCCCTGCCCCAGGACCAGCTCCAGTTGCTCCCGCACCTGAGCAACCACAAGTTGTTGTCGACCAGCCACATCCAGCTCCAGACTGCGGCTCAGCCCAGCCAGCACCAGCTCAACCTTCAGGATACAGAGCTAAGCGCAACTCGCGATACGGAGACGAGCAGGTCGCCCCTGCCCCAGGACCAGCTCCAGTTGCTCCCGCACCTGAGCAACCACAAGTTGTTTTCACAACCACAACCCGCTCCAGACTGCGGCTCAGCCCAGCCAGCACCAGCTCAACCTTCAGGATACAGAGCTAAGCGCAACGCTTACGGAGACGAGCAGGTCGCCCCTGCCCCAGGACCAGCTCCAGTTGCTCCCGCACCTGAGCAACCACAAGTTGTTGTCGACCAGCCACATCCAGCTCCAGACTGCGGCTCAGCCCAGCCAGCACCAGCTCAACCTTCAGGATACAGAGCTAAGCGCAACGCTTACGGAGACGAACAGGTAGCCCCTGCCCCAGGACCAGCTCCAGTTGCTCCCGCACCTGAGCAACCACAAGTTGTTGTCGATCAACCACAACCCAGCTCCAGACTGCGGCTCAGCCCAGCCAGCACCAGCTCAACCTTCAGGATACAGAGCTAAGCGCAACGCTTACGGAGACGAGCAGGTCGCCCCTGCCCCAGGACCAGCTCCAGTTGCTCCCGCACCTGAGCAACCACAAGTTGTTGTCGATCAACCACAGCCAGCTCCAGACTGCGGCTCAGCCCAGCCAGCACCAGCTCAACCTTCAGGATACAGAGCTAAGCGCAACGCTTACGGAGACGAGCAGGTCGCCCCTGCCCCAGGACCAGCTCCAGTTGCTCCCGCACCTGAGCAACCACAAGTTGTTGTCGATCAACCACAGCCAGCTCCAGACTGCGGCCCAGTCCAGCCCCCAGCACCCGCTCAACCCTCAGGATATTAATCGATTCTCAATCGTGATCTTCAGTTTTTCATTGTGTGCCGTAATAAAAGTAATATTGATATGTTCATTTGCTATAAGTAAGCAGAAGTTCAGGAATTGAACCAACAATATAATTTTAAAAGTTTACATTTATAATGCGTAAAAAATTAGGGAAAGCCTGAAGCAGGGTCAACCGTCCGTTCGAACTGTTCGAACGAAGGGGTCGCATTTTGGTCGGAAGGGGGTCGCAATTTCGAGGACTGCCAGCCACAGGCGCGTGCGTGGCGTATCCGAGGGCAAGAATTGTTTGTGCAGACCGCATTAGATTCGATTAATTATGCACAGAGAGACAGTTTTAGGCAAATTACGGTGTTTTCTTGAGGGGGGCCGGAGGGGGAAAAATACATTATACGAAGGAATAAAGAACAGTTGAATGCATCCCTATGAAAGGTTTGACTTCTCGGGGCTGAAATTAAAGTTCTTCGGGACCTAATTTTCTGAGGACGATTCTTCCAGACAACGGTAAAACACATAAGAAAGCAGAAATCTCGTAGTCTTCAAAAATGTCTTCGCCCCTCCCCAACAAGTTCTTTGAAGGAAGTTATTATTGCTGAAAGCTCAAAAACTCGCATGTGCTGCTCAAAAACCTATGGGAACAAAATGTTCGAACGTGTGATTTTCTCGGAAAATGGATTTTGAAAAACGGTTTGGGGCTTGTTAGAAAGAGCAAATCCTGTCTTTCACCCCATGGAAAAGTGTGCATCACAGAAATGAAAATGAAGTGAGTTATGCCCGCTGAAAGCCCAAAAACTCGCGATTTCAAAAAAAGTGTTCGAACGGGGCGATTTTTTGAAAAAGAGGACAATCGTCAAACTTTTTATATATTTTGTTAGAGAAATATTTGATGTTTCTGAAACTTTTTACAGATTTCCAAAATGTCGCATACGAAAGATTTTATGGGCCTTCAAAGTTGAAGGTGCGCCTTCTTAGAATTTTGGGTTTTCCACTTCTAACAGAAGTACTTTCCGGAGAGTTAGGCAATCCTTGTAGTTTTCTGGAAAGCGCACCTCAGGCACAATCAAAATCTACCTCAACAAGTCAAAAAAATACGTCCCAAGAAAGTTATTCCTCCTCTAAAATTTTTTCTCTTCGCCGCGTCCCGTTCTTCCAGCGCCCGGGTGATACCTGCCGCGCTCCAAGGCCGACGCGACGACGCGCAGACGCTTTCTGGCGCAACGGATTCATGTCTAGCACTCTTATTAACAAAAACAGGGGTCGCAACTGGACCCCCTCGAGAGCTAGGGGGTCGCAAAAATCCCGAAAATGTTCGAACGTGACGGTTGACCCTGGCTGGAAGTCGGCATCAGCCCACATTACAGCAGAGAGTCACTGAGATATTTTCCTTCATATAGAATGCAGCTACAATGGTTGAATTTTGTGAACAAATCACATAACCACAAGTGCACATCACATCTATGTCCCTTGGATCAAACCATCTTTCACTTCCACTTCAAAGCTTCGCCAATTAACCCTGAAGACGACGGGGGAGGGCGGGGTACTTAGCTATTGGATATTGAGTATACAGTGTGTCTACTTATGTTAGTATACTGCAGCTTTTTATTTTACCGAAAACGTTTCTTAAAAGAGTGGCCCAGTTTAGCAGTATACATTATCGGATATGCTGTATAAGAAAACAACTAAAAGCATGTCTTCAGATATACAAATTCACAGAAAAATTCCGTTTCATGACATACATCCATTTCATTAGGCTGGCTTTGAAATCTTGTTCTCGCTCAGCAACTATTTCCAATATGAAAACAAGGCACACCAACATGAAACATTTTCCCCGTGTCACTGGCTTTTCTACTTTTGGTGAGCAAAGCATGGTCGCTTTCCTCGAAAAACTTTTTCAGGTTCGGCCCGAAGAAGTTATGTAGTCACCTGAACTTTGATGCCGTCGCTGGTATTGAATTTTTTTGCTGCTGAGGACTGCTATATTGACCTGAGTTAACACTTGGGAGGGCGTCATTTGAGGGGACTTGCTTATCGTTAGCCTTTTTCTTGCAATATAGCAGCCAAACTCGCAGGATGTTCCACGAGTTTGTCTATCTGATTTGGAACAGCATTGAAATAATGGCCACACTCGAAAACGCCTACAGAAAACATGCTGATTGACAGGCAACACAATGTTAGGAAACGCTTACAAATATACATTCAAAAGAATAGGAAAGGCAAAACTAAATAAGAAGTAATCTTACCTCGTAGCATCGCCGAGTACACGCGCACGCAATACGGCAATGACATATTTGTGACATGCGCCGAAATTGGCGCGGGCGTCAATGTGTTAACACTTTGCTTGTCATTACGTTTTTGTAAGTTCAAGTAGTTTGTAAGTTTAGCTTTATCTCGTACGTATTTTTGGGAGCCTTTTTGAATATCGTCAGTACTATAGTAACACCATTTTGGACAATGCATTCAGAATGATGTGAAATTTCACGCAACTTCCCTTTTTTTGTCTGGCAACGCCAATCACTTACTCCGCTAAGGGCGTACTCCGCTGCAAGTATGGCTACTATATTGCACGGAAAAAGGCTAAGCAAATTCCCTCAAGACGATTCGCTCTTTCAAAGCATCATAAATTTGTTGAAACTGAAGTTGTCTACATGCCACATTTTCTACGGATTCGCGAGTCTAACCTAAGTCAAATATTCAAAGAAGTACTGAAAAGGTCCGCTGTGGAGACAGAAGAGGTGCATACCGGTGATGCACGCGGACTGCAAAGTTTAATCGTTTCCTCATCTATGGTGTAAACTGCTGACTTAGCGCGTCGGTGAACTGGTGCGTCCGTCCTACCGCAAAATGAAAAGCTAAGGCAGCTCGTAGAAAAAACCAAACTAACAGCACACCATCAAAATTGCGAATTTCGCAGGCAGTGCAATATAAATGTTTGGTAATGGCATGGTTAACATCCCCAACGGCTAAGTAACTATGGGGAGGAGAGGAGGAAAACCAGCCGCCAACAGACATTACGTCATCTGCCATTTCCTTCAATCTCAAAGAAACCCCCTGTCGTTATTGCTCCAGCCGGAATCCTGCTCGTACAAATTGTGATTCTATCTCACTCATAATTACTGGCTTGGGACCCATAGTTCACGATAAGAACGAAAAGAACAAAAAATTGCATTTGTTTGGCAAAAAATTCGAAAAACGAAGGGCTGCTACGCGTTCAAAGTACCGCCGGACATCTGTCACAAATGCTGGCGACGGGAATGCTTCCACGTGGTTCTTAGAGTGCCGTCATAGTGCGTCTTCCTGGCCTCTTGAATTGTTGCATTAATTTCACACTTCTACTGTATCCTATTCTATCGATCGAATTGTCGCATCGAAATCGTACGCTTTAACCCGATTCTTTCATTGCGTCGCCTGATACGTAGCCGCCCCAAGGCGGACTTCTTTCCATGCCCCGCCTTTGGCTCCGCGCCACTTACCTTCGATTGTCCATAGAGTGTGGTTTTTGTAAGTTTGTTTCTCTTCGGAAACTGAATCTTTGTGCGTGAAACTTTGTATGTTGTCTCTAGTGATCACAACTGACATATGCGTGTTGGGAAAGAATGCAAGAATGCGGAAATCCTTTCGACGAGTAGGATTCCTTCAAGGTACCATAAGATTCCTTCAACATTTTACTGGTGGATAACTTCGCAGGGACCATAAATATGATTATGCAAGGCTTTCATGACCGGAGTTTCAGAATGTCCTGATAGTCCACCGTCCGTAGAAGACCGCTTCAACATCCGTGCAACATGTTTCCATGGCACGCTCTTCTGTCATCAGCGTAGTGTCGAGTGTTTATGAAATGTATTATGTCTTTTGTTGGAGTATTCTGTTAGAATTTAACCGGAATCCCCGAACAATTTGCCCTTGCCTTTTTTCGACTCATTCCGAGCTTCTTCCCGTGGAGCAATTTGAACTATCTTAGGGGGCACAGGGCTTTGCACTCTACATGGCAAAAAGCGCAATGCCATCTTATTTAGCGTTAGAAATTCCCACCCAGACTAGACAGTCGTCGTCTGAAAACGGGTAGGCTGTGTCAAAAAATTAGAAAGGTTTCGGGTTGTTGAGGCAGCGGACATTAAAATTACATATTTACCCTTGGTTCGTCATTGTACTTACATATTTTTGATTTTTTTACGCTACGAGATCGCTCTCAGAAATCCAACAAAAAAAATCCGACTATAGCATTAGTCTTACTCACTGTCTCAATTCCAATTGATAAAAAATTCTTATCCTCACACACGAAGTGTTGTTTTGTCTTTTCTGTACTCTCTGCCCGCTGTCACTCTCCGTTGTTCCACCCCGACCTTCACACCTTCAGTTTGAGCCTTGAATTTCAATGTTTTCGATGGTGTCTTTTGCGTTGTTTTACGCAGCCCATCACCTCCCTCCATTCACCTCCACTATTGAGCTCCAGTGACATCAATTTTGTCCTGGGGCTTGCTTTCGGAAAGGGCGACAGGATCATGAATGATGCCTTCAGTGCAGGTAGCTAACACGTATTTTTTAACACATATAGAATTTGTTCTGTACAAAATTGCGATCATCATAATTTATTCGAAATAAATTACTAATACTAAAAACATTCGAGACATCAGTAACCTGCAGGTTCAACAGGAGGTGAGTCGCTGATTGGATATCCTTGGTCAACGGGTACTGGCGTTTCCTCACCAACGCTTCCGTATGGATCACCTCCCGGGGTAGGAGGAGCTCCGTATGAATCGTCACCGCCTGGGTGGTGGAGGTGTGATACTTTCATCTCCGTATTCATTGCCTGTTTTCCTGGGTACATCACCACCAGGAGGCAAACGAGGCCCACCCGGATTGATAGCTGGTGGATATGGTGGAGGAGTGATGCTTTCATCTCCGTATTCATTGGCTCTCTTCCTTCTGTATCCAGCTGGTTCGACAGGTGGCGCGTCACTACCGTAATATCCTTGGTCGACTGGTGCTGGTGTTTCTTCCCCGTACGACCCACCACCTGGAGTTGGTGGAGGAGCTCCATAATCACCACCTGGTGGAGGAGGAGGAGGGGGAGGAGTGATGCTTTCATCCCCGTACTCATTAGCTCTCTTCTTTCTATATCCGGCTGGTTCGACAGGTGGCGCTTCACTACCGTAATATCCTTGGTCGACTGGTGCTGGTGTTTCTTCCCCGTACGACCCACCACCTGGAGTTGGTGGAGGAGCTCCATAATCACCACCTGGAGGAGGAGGAGGGGGAGGAGTGATGCTTTCATCCCCGTACTCATTAGCTCTCTTCTTTCTATATCCGGCTGGTTCGACAGGTGGCGCTTCACTACCGTAATATCCTTGGTCGACTGGTGCTGGTGTTTCTTCCCCGTACGACCCACCACCTGGAGTTGGTGGAGGAGCTCCGTAATCACCACCTGGAGGAGGAGGAGGAGGGGGAGGAGTGATGCTTTCATCTCCATACTCATTAGCTCTTTTCTTTCTGTATCCTGCTGGTTCTACGTCTGCCCCATCGTCACTTCCGTAGCCTTGATTTGCAGGCTCAGGTGTTTGTTCTTCTTGAGGAGCATAATTGCCGTCTGTAGGTGGTGGAGTTACTGCTTCATCTCCATACTCGTTTGCTCGTCTTCTTCTGTATCCAGAAGGCACAACCTTGATATTTCCTGAATAGCCGCTTTGTGAAATCCTACCTCCATCGCCTCCGTCGCTGTAGCTTTTAGCGGGCTTGCTCTTTCCGTATTTAGGAACGTAAGGTTCATCCACATAGTTTCCATTGGGTAGCACAGGCTCATCTACATAAGGCTTCTCTGTAGCCGAGCTGATTTCACCTTCTGTTGTTGTGCTTAGTTCAGTAGTCTCAGATTCTCCCAATGTGGTTGCAACAGCAGTGGTTTCTTCGAGAAGTATAGTGGTTGCTGCAGCAGTAGTCTCTTCAACTGTCGTCTCGGCAACAGTTGTCTCTTGAACTGTCGTCTCGGCAACAGTTGTCTCTTGAACTGTTGTTTCAGCAACAGTAGTTTCTTCGACAGTTGTTTCAGCGGTTATTTCCAGAATTGTTGTAACTCCCACGACTTCTGTGGCTGACAAAATTGACGTGGCCTCCACGATATCTGTTGCTGGCAAGATTGATGTGGCTTCCACGATATCTGTTACTGACGAGATTGATGTGGCTTCCAGAATAACAGTTTCTCCACCAGCACTAGCAGTTGTTAATTCTCCGATTTCCTCCGTCACACCATCGTCGGCCTGTCGTTTATCGCGTACTGCAATAATGATAATTAGAAGTGGAAAATGCTTCTACAATTTACTCTCCCTGTTGAATTAGCATTACAAACTTGTAATCACGACTAGGTTATGAAAAATCCATTCGAGAGCCAGAAATGCACTAACTCGAACATATGAACAAATCTTGAACATTTCAATGTTACACAACCAAAATTAAAGAGCCTCGAAAAAAATCTACCATCCGGCTGTTGAAAAGTTTGCGGAATGTTTACTGAGAACCCAAATGAGCTCCGAAACGTGCTCATCCGAAAATGTTGTTCTACAGGCATTAGGCAAAGTGATTCCGTCAGTTTCAGAAGTGCTTTCTCGCTTTGGAGTCCTTGACGTTTCTTTACCAAATTTTGTTTATGAGCAGAAAGGTGGTTGGAGGGGGTATAGTATCATTTCTGAAGGTTCCCTAACAAGGGAGGTCTTTCAGGGCAAGGTGCGCTTTTTCAAAACGGTTTTGTGCATATTGTAGGGACGCATGTAGGGAACGCAAAACCATGTTTCATTTTCGCTGAACGGTTATAGCAGTACCAAAAAAGAAGCATAAGGTACTGTTAATGGTTCGATCCCCCGTGGCGACTAAATTTTGCATTTGGGTTGGCGCCTACGGTTTGGTGCCAAATCGCGCTAAATGTCAAAATCAGATGTCAAATTCATCGTCAGGATTTTGAAGCCAACAAGTGGCCGCCAACCTTGATTGCAAAATTTAGTCGCCGCGGGGATCGAACCATCAAGGGTATCATTCACCACTTTTTTGATACTACTAAAACCGTTCAGCGAAAACGAAACATGGTTTTGTGGTCCATACATGCGTGCGTCCCTACAATATGCAAGAACCGTTTCCAAAAAGCGCGGCTTGCCCTGAAAGCCCCCCTCCCACCCTTGTAAGAGGCAAGTGATATGATAGATTAGTCGCCTGCTGGGAACAGATTTGTAACTCCTAAGAGGCAGCAGTGAAGAGAAACTATGGAGACGGTCCCTAATCCGTGAAACGGCTCCTTTTTCACCATCGATTTACCCTTTGCGCGAATCTCTTCGATGCCTGATGTCATTAGGTGAACGCTTTGTCTGTCCCTCTGCTTGAACGGTCGGAGGTCGGCCCGTCGCGGAACCAACGAGCACTGGGAATTCACCGCCGCGAGTAAGGACCCTTAGGTCGCTAAGGAGGCACTCTCCCCAGCAAAGCACGCCTAGTCCTGCTACTTCTGGAAACCCGCCTCACTTTATGTTGAATATTTCACTTTCTCCAACCCAATTTATCGTACCACCTGGATTTGAATTGCACCAGTCATCACTGCTGAAGAAATTCAGTAACTAGAGGTGGCTCAGTGACTGTGAAGCGCTTCTACGAACGAATACCGTCTAGAACAGCTATGCCTTCCTTTTCTTCGGTGACGATTGATAGCAATCAGATCTATCTACGGGAACGAAAAAAAAACAACTCCAATTTGGCTAGCCCCATAATACTGCATAGCCGTGCACGCATTGAAGTGCCTCGACAGTTCTGAATAAACTCCTGCAGGGTGGCAGCGTCCTGATAAAATGATGATCATGTACTGAGCTTGCCAGATTTTTTCAATAGGAGTGTGAGTGATCACCGATTTCAGTGGCTTGTGCGTTAGAGGAAGAGAGCGATGGCTGCGCTGTGCAAAAATGGTTCATATTGAGAAATTAGTGAATAATAAATTACAAAAGAATTCAAAGGCACAGCATTCTTATTGCGGCACCACTGCCAGTCCTATACTTTTGCACTTAAACATACGACAGTGTGAAACTCGGGTTCAGGGGGGGGGTGGCACGCGATGCGCTCTGTT